TATTCTTTCGTACTGCAGCCAGATTGATCTTTTCAAAATGCATGTCTGATAATGTAACCCCCACTCCCCTCTCCCTTCTTAAAACTCTCACTCACCACCCTTGGCTTCAGGGTCCCCTGGCATGGTCTCTGCCCTCTTCTGTCTGTCTGACTCTCCACTGTCCTCTTTACACTCCACCTCAAGCCACAGAATTCTTTAGGTGAAAGAATGTAACCATCGTCACCACTTACACCAAGGCATGGCTTCCTCAGGGAAGCCCTCCCTGAATCCCTGAATGCCCACGTCTTCCTACTATGAGCTTGCATAGCCTTGTTTGTCTATACTTAACAATAGCACTCCCCACTGTTTATAATTTTACATTTATTGGGTAGTTATTTGATTAATTGGTTGCTCTCACGTGGACTGGTAGCTCCATGAGAGTACGAACGGTATCATTTTGCTCATCATTTTACTTCTAGTACCTTATACAAACCTGGCTTACAGTAGACGTTTAATAAATTTTCATAAAAGTAATAAAAGGAATACATGAATTTTAGGAGCCAAACCAGTTATGTTCTTTTTCACTTTACCCTAAAACAGGGGTTTGAAACCATGGCTTGAGAGCCAGTCCAGCTCTTCATCTAATTTTATAAATAAAATTTTATTGGAACCCAGTCATGTTCCTTTATATATTATCTGTGGCTGCTTTCTCACTGTACAGACAGAGATGAGTGGTTGCAACAGGGACACTGTAGCCTACAAAATACTTACTGTTTGGCCCTTTACTGAAAATTACTAACTCCAACTCTAGAGTCACGTGAATTCAAAATGAAAAACAAGTCATGAGCGTGAAGACAGTACCAACCTCGATTTACTAATAAGCTAACCTGTGCTTCTTTTGTTAGGTATTTGAAATGATCATTAACCCTGGAGATAATGTCCTCGTAAATGAACCTATTTATTCAGGAACACTGCAAGTTGTAAGTATACATTTTTATAAAAAGCAGCTCTTAAAATTAGTAAGATGAAATCATTGCACCTTTAGAATTATCTGTCCACTGAAAAAATAGCATCTTTCATCGGTAAATCAGAGAATCTTAAATAATATATGCAAAATATGTAAACCTTACCCTCTGCTTCATACATTTGTTTTTTAAAATCCAAATGTATAGGCACTAAAATTAGGTTGTGCAAAGTCATGCCCTTCTCTTAATATTTTACTTGAAATGTAACTTATATTGCAAAACCTTTTCATTATCATATGCCTAAGAATAACCCTGTTTTATGTCAATTTAATATAACTCTAAAGTAATGTTGTATGATGAGGACGTTCCACTCCAGTGTTAAATCAGTGGGTCTATAATATCCAGAACGAGGAAGCTGATCATCCTGTCCTGCTGTGCTCTGCTCAGAACTCACCACTGAGGATTATGTTTGTCTGGGACACTCTGCTTCAGAATAGAAGTGTCCACAAACTAGAGCACATTCAGAGACTTGTAGTCAGAGTGAACAGAGAATTGGAAACCACACCATGTGAAGAATGGTTATATGAACTGTAGCTGTTTTCCCCAAATAGAAAAGACTCAGCATAGGCATGAGAAGTGTCCTCAAATATAGAAAAGTTAGCCATGTGACAGAATAATTAGATTTATTTGTACATGACCTTAGGTTGATAGAACTGGAATCCCAGATAAACAGTTTCAACTCATTATAAAAACTTTCTAACCCTTGATGTTAACTGACTTTGTAAGGAGGCAAAGCATGGCCCATCACTGCAGGTGCTCAGAGTTACTTACTCCTGATTGCCACTTAATACAAATACTGTAAAGGTAGTTCTAGCTTGGAGTAGGGGAATTGAATGAGGTGGCCTTTGTGCTCTACTGATTCTAACTTCATGGATTCTTTTTATTCTCCAAGTTTTATGTTATTTTTATAAAGTCAATTTAGAAAGCAATATATAAGCAATCCAGTTATAATAGCATCCAGAAGAATAAAATAACTAGGAATAAATTTAACAAAGGAGGCGAAAGACTTGTATGTTAAAAACTCTAAAGCTTTGCTGAAAGAAATTAAAGAAGACCCAGATGAATGGAGAGACATGCCCTGTTGATGGATTGGAAGACTGAATATTGCTAAGATGTCAGTTCTACCCTAAGCAATCTATATATTTAATTGTATAGATCTATCAAAATTCCAACAGGCTTTTTTTTTTTTTTGCAGAAATATAAAAGCTGATCCTCAAATTCATATCAGAATTTAAGGATCCCAAATAGCCAAAACAATCTTGAAAAAGAACATATATGGAGGACTCACTTTCCAATTTTAAAAGCTACTGTAAAGCTATAGTAATCAAAATAGTGTGGTACTGGCATAAGGATAGACATATAGAGCAATGGAGTAGAATTGAGAGTCCAGAAATAAACCGTAAATGCAATTGATTTCAACAACGGTGCCAAGTCCATTCAGTGAAGAAGAATAGTCTCTTCAACACATAGTGCTGGGACAACTGGATTTCCACATGCAAAAGAGAGAAAGTGAGCCCTTACCTCACAACATATAATAAATTAATTCAAAATGGATCAAAGACCTAAATGTAAAAACTAAAATTTACAAACCCTTAGGAGAAAATGTAAGGGCAAATCTTAATGACCTTGGATTTCAACATGATTTTAGATGTGACAGGAAAAACAGAGCAAGAACAATAAAAAATAGGTAATTTAGACTTCAAAATTAAAACTTTTGTACATCAAAAGATACAAAATAACACCTTACAGAATGAGAGAAAATATTTGCAACTCATATATTTGGTAAGAGTTTAATATCAAGAATATACAGGCCAGGTGTGGTGGCTCACGCCTTTAATCTTAGCACTCTGGGAGGCCGAGGCAGACAGATTCCTTGAGGTCAGGAGTTCAAAACAAGCCTGAGCCAGATCCTGTCTCTACTAAAAATAGAAAGAAATCAATTGACCAATTAAATATATATATATATACAAAAATTAGCCAGGCATGATGGCACATGCCTGTAGTCCCAGCTACTCGGGAGGCTGAGGCAGTAGGATTGCTTGAGCCCAGGAGATTGAGGTTGCTGTGAGCTAGGTTGATGCCACGGGACTCACTCTGGCCTGGGCTACAAAGTGAGACTCTGTTTCAAAAGAAAAAAAGAATATATAAAGAGCTACTATAACTAACACCAAAAAAACAACCCAATTGTAAAATGGGCAAAGAACATAAATAGACATTACTCCAAAGAAGATATGCAAATGGCAATATTTGCATCTGAGAAGATGCTCAACATCATTGGCCATTAGAGAAATGCAAATCAGTGTATGAAAGCCGCATATGCAATCTGATTATTTTGCAAGACTGAGGCTTAGGGGGTGTATTGATAATTAATTTTATCAATTGCTGTGCACAGACTTTTTTCTAATTTAAGTTCAATCCGCAGGACACACCACCATAAGCCACACCAGTTTTACTTACATTTATTAAGAAGGAAGAGAAAAAGAGAGAAAGTAAGAGAAAAGTACCACAGGGGAAGAACACAAAAGAGTAATCTTACCACTAGGTTCCCATTATCAGCACCAGAGGCTTATCATCACGGTAATCTCAACATGGGGGCTAATTCTCACGAGCAGTCTCTCAGGCAGCAATGAAGGCAACAAGCTGGGATATCAACATGGAGATGTTATACAGAGAAGCAGCAGCGTAGAAGAGGCTCGGGGACTTTCTTATACTGTTTATATCGTGGTTTGAACAAAGGAAGGCTTTGGCACCCAAAAGGCATATGCTCTGGTCACGTGAGGTCCCTGCTTGGGAAGGACATGTCACACTAATGCCCAGAATGTGTTGGCCAGAGCCAGACGCACGGCCAAGCCTGACATAACTGGGGCAAGGAGGTGTCGTCCTTCCTCTGGGAAGGGAGAGCTGTTTGTGATCAATAATGTAATCCAGGCCAGGCGCTGTGGCTCACGCCTGTAATCCTAGCTCTTGGGAGGCCGAGGCGGGCGGATTGCTCAAGGTCAGGAGTTCAAAACCAGCCTGAGCAAGAGCGAGACCCCGTCTCTACTATAAACAGAAAGAAATTAATTGGCCAACTGATATATATATATAAAAAAATAGCCGGCATAG